CCCCAGACCCAGGAAAGTTGTCCCCCTCCTACAGCAGCAGCTGAGTTCGCGATCCAGGTGGCTGCGAGCTACTGTGGGGAAGAAGGGTTGGTGTCACTCAGGAGCTGCTGGGGTTCAGGTTGGAAACGTGGAAGGAAAGGGACTTAAGGTTTGAGGGTGTCGAATGAAAACGGTGGCGGGGGCGGCAGCAGTGGCAGCAAAGCATGGAGGATCACTGGGTCTCGGTGCCTTTGGGTTTTGTTTGGGCTGAAGGGTCACTCGCGGTAGAAAACATACTCAGTGTACGAGGTCCAGATCTTGTCATCCGTCTGTTCGTGAGCAAAGGCGCAGGTCCCGGTGGAGTTGCACGCCACCATGTGGAAGCCGGAGTCGGCCAGTCTGTCAAAGGCCTGCTCCAGGAAGGTGAATTTGAGGTAGTACCTGGAGGTGTAGCGCTCGGGGGGCCGGTCGGGGTCCCTGCTCTCGTTGAGGGTCTCCCCAAAGACTTCCTTGGCCAGGGAGGTCTTCCCACACACCATGATCCTCGCCACCCGGCGGAACTTGGCGTCCGCTTGGCTGTCTCTCCCCAAGGTGTAGGAGCCCCGGTAGCCCACAGTAATGAAACCCGACCGCCGGGCCTCCTGCCCTACGCCGCCCCCGGCTGCAGAGGCGATGGAGCCGCCGGGGAGGCTGGCCAAGGCTGCGCTGGCAGCTCCCAGGGTGCGCAGGGCATCTGTGCTGGGGGAGAGCTCCTCGGGGTCGCTGGGGCAGGGCTCCTCTCCCAGGGAGTTCCGCTCGCTGACCTTCGGGGCCAGGCCCTTGGCCAGCTCGGGCAGCTTGAAGAACTCGGCCTCCCGCTGCAGGCGGCTCCGCTCAGGGAAGTGCTCTGGGAGCACCAGCTGCCGGTCCCTCAGGAAGTCCAGGATGTAGCGGAAGAGGAAGCCGTCCCGGTCCACGAAGAACCGGCCTTTGCTGTCCCGGGCCAGGGATTGGGCGCTCTGCTGGGTGAAGAGTTCCCAGAGGAAGGAGCCGGGGATGCTGACCAGCGTGCTGTGACGGGTGAGGTAGACCTGCCCGCCCACATTCAGCTCGACAATCTCTGGGAAAGCTGATTCCTCCCTGAGTCGGGCACCACTTGCGCTGTCTGCCAAGGCCATCCTGAGGTCCTCCTGCTGCCCCCTCTGGAAGAGAAAGAGGCACAAGCAGGTCAGGCTCCCTGCCCACCCTGGGCACGGATAATGTGCTCCTGGGGTTGCCTGCCTGCCTGCCTGCCCACCCTCCTGCCCATGCATCTGAACCCGGCGCACCATCACTTTGCCATCAACACTGCTTTGTGATTCCTTCCACAATGGCTTGGGTTCTTGGGCAGCAATTTGACCTCTGCCCAGAAGTGGACCTGCAGCTCTTCATGCTGGTGCTGAGTGGGTGAGTGGAACGTCCAACTGAGGCTTTTGCTCAATTAAAAAAAAAAAAAAAGACTCAGTGATGGAATGGGGTTTGCTGGTCAATCTCATCTGGATAGAAATAAAAAGAGGACAAGTATTCTGAAACTAGCATTTCTTCCGACACGCAGGCACAAGTCCTCTCACAAGAATTCCTGCCCCTGTGCTTCCAGCGAGCGATAGAGCAGCGGACCTCCGGAGCGGCATCAGACCCTCTTCATCCTGGGCTATTTTGGCCATGGTGGATTTGCCAGTTAATTAACCCAACTTGTTTCAAGGAGGTTTGCCATTTTTAAACTTGCTTGCCTGCTAATGTGTAATTAAGATCTTCAGGGTTATTCTTACTAGTGGTAACAGAAGCATTAGAGTAACACCGTTGGTACTCATGGTGGTAAGGAAACGGTAAACATCCACCACCTAAAATACCATCTCTAAATCTTTTCCCTGCTTTCAGCTGAAAGTTTGGCATGAGGCTTCTATCCCTTCTATGAACATATCTGCTATTCCAATCAAATGTCACACACTGCCCTGGCTACTGGAAGTACCATTTCAAAAGGAAGCTTGCAGACCCTGAGATACCGACCTCATTTGCATCGAGACAAATTCTAACCCCTTCAGCATCACTTTTGAGTGCATTTGCACTTTGGGGCCACGATGCCTCTCCCAACAGAGTCCGGGTATCACCAAAGCCTGCCAGCTGCCCGCCCCAAATGCTGCAGTCCTGCTTCAGGTGCTTCGCATTCTGGCTGGCTCAGAACAGAACTCATTGCGATGACCCAATGAAAAGGCGGTTGCAGATGAGTTCCCTGCTCCACATCCCTTGCCCATAGGCTGCCGCACGCGGCCTCCGGGCAGACCCCCTTCCTGCCCCCTAGAGCCCTTCTTCCTTCGGAGCCATCAGGCAGTTAGGCCCCTGGGCTGAGCAGGGATGGTCTGACTGTTGTTCATGCCCAGTGAATCCAACGTTGGTTTGTTTATCCAAGCATGCAGTTAGGGGCATCTGAGCAGTGCCTCCCGCTTGGTCCATCAGCTGAGCACAGGGAACGTGGCCAGGGGTCTTGGGCTTCGCCATCCCTGCCAGTGGGGGGACCACGCTGGAGGGCCGCCACGTTTGCCTGAAAATTAATGAGGCTCCTATTGGCTTCTCCTCCTGCTTTAGATAGTTCAGCGTAGAGGAGGTCAGAGGATGCAGGAAATAATAGAGGCTGAATGGTTCTTTCCTTTCCTTTCAAAGGTTTCCTACTTCCTGTTCATGTGTAAATAATCTCACTTTCTGGCAAGATGGTTGGAATTTCTGATGAAAAGCTGTATTTATTTAACACATTTATAAGCTGCCCCACTCAGAAGACCAGTTCAGCTGGCAAAGACCTTTTGCCCTGATACTACGCAGCCAAAGGCTTCTGAAGCTGGGGGGAGGGGGGAGGGGGGATGGATGTGGCCCTTTTAATGGCCTGGAGGCTTCTCTGTCTCTGAGCGCCTTTGCTTCCCTTTTTGACTTGCCTCCATTTGGAAGCCAAGCATGGGCAAAGGGGCAGCCCTGGTGCCCAGTCTGGCCTCTGCTCCTTTCCATGCAGGATGACCTATGCCACCCCCACCCCACCACCACCCCCACATATAGACTGGAGCAGCATTTGTGTTCAATCTGGTTCTGGAAAGAACAGCAAAAGCTACTTCTAACCAAAATAGGGAGAAGGCAAGAGGCGGGGGGGGGGTGTCTCCTGTCTGAGGTGCCCGTAGCACTTGAGTGTGCTGGGCGGGGGGTTCTGGACTGGCTCCTCTTCCTTCCCAGTGCTTTTCCTGAACATCTACTAGGAGAAAAGCTGGAGGCCACATGTTCAGAGCATGGAAGCGGAGGGCATTTATTTTCACAAGCACAGCTCCCTCTGGGTCAGGCACACTCCGCACAGCGAAAAGGGGGTCATCTGCCCGTTGACACACCTGCTGATGCGAGGGACACCTTTAGAGGACACAAAACATGGCTTCGGAAGCAGCTTCTTCACAGGCACCCATGCCGGATTAGTGAGAACAGGGCTCTGGCTTCCCTCCAGTGACTCCCTCCGGGGCGGGTAAAAGACCCCCCCCCCCCCCGCTTCCAGAAACCCTCGGGAGGGTGCCTTCCATTGATCCAGACCTCTGCCCCCCCCACACACACGCGTTTCCCCGTCCCGTTATTCTGACGTTCCTTCAGATTAAGCCTGCTGCCTTCTTTTCCTGCGGGTTCGGCGCCTCGGCCAAATCTCCGACTTCCAGGGCCCGCTGGTACCCGAGGTGCGTGGCTCCTGCTTGAATGTGGAGAATTCCGCGTGTGGAAAAGGGCTTGCCG